ATGGGGAGCTAGGCAATTATTCAGTACTGATCTGCCCTGTGATAATAAATGTGCTGCAATAGGGAAAGTGTATTATTCACAGTTTATCTTTTAAGGAAAAAAAAACACTTATTCTTGACTCCGTGTCAGTCTAAGCAATCACCTTTCCCGCAAGGTCCCACCAGTGTACTAAGTCCTTCTGCTCAGTCCCTCAGCACTTGCGCTTTAGAGTTCCATGGGAGTCCCACCATGTCCCTTATTATTATTATTATTATTATTATTATTATTATTATTATTATTATTATTTTGCTGTCCCCTATACTTTTTAATATCCATAGAAAGCCACTGGGTGAGGTCCCCTGGGGATTTGGTGTGAGGAATCATCAATATGCTGGTGATGGTTTTATTTATCCTTGTCTTCATAGTCAGATGAGGCTGCTGAATTTCTGAACTGGTGTCTGGATTTGATCATGGGCTGAACGATGGCCAATAAACTGAAGCTCAGTACTAACAAGACAAAGGTCAGAAGCAGATTTAGGGGAGCGTGACTGGTTCCCCGTACTGGGTGCTGAGCCGAGAAGGTGCTGCAGCGGCGGCTGCAACAATGATGGACAACAGAAGGCGGGTGGTGGGGCTGAATTTAGGTGTCGCACAGAGCGCTGCTGAAATATTACAGCCCAAAGCCTGCCGTGTGCCGTGGGTAAATGGTTTTCTTGTTCAGAAAAAGGATGTTCAACCAGTTCTCGACAGAGTGACGCTCCACCTGAAAATGAAGGGTTTTTTTTTAGCATGTGGCTCCTCCTGGGTTCAAGTGGCTATATAGCACAGAGTTTCTTCCGCAACTACGTATAACTTTGTTTGCCAGCTGTGGTCACTCCTGAATAGGCACAGTGTGGCCATAGTTAGCCATGGTAAACTCCCATTTTGACTGCTGCAATGTAATACATGTGGGGCTTCCTTTGAAGGAGGCTTGGAAGTTTCAGTCAATGCAGAATGCAGCTGCCAGAATTTTGTATGGGAGCAGTTCATTTGGATCACCTCCCACCTGGTTTAAAAAGTGCCTCACTGACTGCCTACACATTTCACAGCCTAGTTCTAAGTGTTGGCACTTACCTTTAAAATCGCTGCTGGCTTGGGATCCAAATACCTAACAAATACCTACCCATCTGCGTACTGTCCTGCCCACATTCTGAGGGCCACTGTTGATGCCCTTCTCAGAGTGTCTCTTCTATCTGAAGTGAGATTCATGCCAACTAGAGTGGCAGTGAGGTATTATTATTATTATTATTATTATTATTATTATTATTATTATTTATTTATTTATTTATTTATTTATTTATTTATTTATTTCTACCCCGCCCATCTGGCTGGGTTTCCCCAGCCATTCTGGGCAGCTTTCAACAGAACATTAAAAATAGAATAAAACTTCAAACATTAAGAACTTCTCTAAAGAGGGCTGCTTTCAGATGTCTTCTAAAAGTCAGATAGTTGTTTATATCCTTGACATCTGGTGGGAGGGCGTTCCACAGGGCTGGTGCCACTACCGAGAAGGCCCTCTGCCTGGTTCCCTGTAACCTCACTTCTCACAGTGAGTGAACCACCAGAAGGCCCTCAGAGCGGGATCTCAGTGTCCGGGCAGAACGATGGGGGTGGAGATGCTCCTTCAGGTATACTGGGCCGAGGCCGTACTGGGCAGCCTTTTGAGGGTCACAAGCCAGTAGTGGGCAGAGCAGAGACAAAAGTGAGATGAACAATGAGTGGAGCATGTTGCCTTTGTATAGGACGTTAATAGCCAACAAACATCCATCAGTACTATGTATCCAGGCCAGAGTTATTATCAGAGTTCAAGGGCACATTCTATCCAGACAATAACAGTCAAGGAGGATGTGAAGCAAGGCCAGTGAGGGGTGTGTCCTGGGGGAAGGGGCATGTCTTGGGGGTGTGACCTGGGCAGAGTCCAAGGGCATGAAAGAGAAGACTGCAGTTCTGCATTTGGCCTTGGGTCTAAGGTTCCCCACCCTGAAACAGAGAGAGGGCTTTTTCAGCTCCAGCTGTGGAACATCTACGCAAGAAGGCTTGCTTATCTGATACCAACACACCAGGCTAAATCTGTCTTGCTGCAGCAGGCATTTTACATATTTTTGCTTTTCTTTGTTGTTGTTGTTGTTGTTGTTGTTGTTGTTGTTGTTTTGTTGCTCATCAGCCATGGTTTTGTGCACTGTATTGTCTGTCACCTGGCTTTTGTGTGTAATTGTTGCATGCCACCCTGGAATCTATTCTGATAGTTTCTTCTATATTCTGAATAGTTTAAAAAAGCAGTTGGAGGAAGAATCACACCCCACGAGCAGTTACCTTCAATGCATTGAAGGGAACAATAGGGTGACACATCAGCTGAGGTTACAACGACCCATTAAAGCAGCAGTCTTAAGGTCTTCTTCTTTGGCAATCACTCGTAGCCGAGTAAGATTGTCTTCCATAAACACGGTTTTAACAATGAGTCCATAAGTGACTGTGGAGGCCAATTCTGGACCCACACGTCCTTCCACAGTCGGGACATTGGTTCCCAGGTGAGAGTTGATCACGGTGTGGATTTGTCAAGCGTGCCTTCTTCTTAGCAAGTTTCTCCCTTGCCTTCTGAGTTTGAGTCTTAGGTAGTGCTCCTATGGAAACACACTGCGTGGGAATCAAAGGGATCACTGTCAAAGTTTAATATGATGGTGATGTTAGTCACATTTCCCAAGCATTTGTGATCATTTCTGAAGATCAGAAGGTGGAGGTAAATAAAGCCTCGTCTTTAAGAAACCAGGGCAAACTTTTAGCACCTCTCTGACTGTTTGTTTCATAAGGAGATACATCAGGATCTGTACTCCAACGGAGACACTAATGGGCTCATTACTAATGGGCTCAGGAGTTTCAAGCATAGAAGCCATTTCAAATGGCTCCTGATTTAATCCACTGTCTGTATCACCTGCATGCATATTGTACAGACTGTCACTGCTTCCAACACACAGTGACAATGAGGGACAGGAGGAGGAATTCAGTCCAGTTAAGATTTCAACATGAGCCTACTTAATTCTCACTTCTTGAAACAAGATGTGAACCAAAACACGGCCATCCGTCAAAATTCGTGTTTCTCTAAATGTTGTGATACAGTTGTGCAAACAAATATTTTGCAAAATAAATAAATAAAGTGTAGAAAAATGCGCGTATTAGGGGGGGGAATATCCATATGTGAAAGTGCACCTTGCTTGCAAAAATGTTGTTTGTTAGGCAAAATTGCAAAGACAAATGTGTGTATTAGGTGCAATTCGCATTAAGCTGATGGTGATCTTTTTGCGAGGAGCTTGTAAGAAAATAAGAATCACATCTGATGCCAAAACAGAGGACTGAAGTTAATATAGAAAAAACGAGAAACTGAGAGAAACTGTCATTGACATATTCGCTCCACCCTACTGATAACTGCCTGCTTTCAACAGCCTAATGAGCATCTTCAAGACCAAAAATTGCACAGCGCTTTTAAAGGTGAACAGAAGCAGGGCTGCTACTGTCTTCTGCATTCTGTGTTTCTAGCATTTAACAACAAAGAACTTTGACAAACAGAAATGGCATCAGTTCACCAAAGTTAGATCTGTGCAGCAGATTTTCTGCCTGTGCGGTGGACACCTGCTGTGCATTTGACCTTCAAAACAGCCTCCACAGCCCCCACCGTTCACACGCCTCACGTTCAGCTGCGCTGCAGGTGGGACTGCATGTTCAGTCAGCATAGCAGAGGAAGGCACCGACAATGGCAGTCTAAAGCTGGTCTGTGGTTCTACATCTCCCCTGCTGCAAAGAGGCTTCTCAGCGTGCCGTCGTTCACTTGGCTTCAGCTAGAGCCAGGAGTGCCACGGTAGCAATATGACTTATTGCAGGCAATCAGCAGTGCCACATGATGCTCACTAATTACAGTTTTGGAATGGAAAACAACTTTGGATTTTTTTTCTCCAATTCTCCCCAAAATAACAATGATTGAAAAGTATGCCCTTTTCTAAACCTACTCACTGCCATAGTTTCCCCTGGTGTTGACACCACGCTACTAGGAGATTCCAGAGAAAAACATGGGACCTTCCAACTGCCAAGAAGATGCTCTTTTGGTGAGCTATGACCCTTCGCAGCCATTTCCCAATTCTACCATGATTAGATAACCATGGATCAGTCATCATTTCGCAGCCTCGCCTAGCACACGCGTGAACTTTCCTAGGGTGGTCTTATCTAACTGCAGTAGCGCCTCCACCCCCATCGTTCAGCCCAGACACTGAGATCCAGCTCTGAGGGCCTTCTGGCAGTTTCCTCATTATGAGGTTACAGGGAACCAAGCAGAGGGCCTTCTCAGTAGTCGCGCCCACCCTGGCCCTCACATCAGATGTCAAGGAAATGAAACAACGATCTGACTTTTAGAAGACATCTGAAGGCAGCCCTGTGTAGGGAAGTCTTTAATGTTCAATGTTTTACTGTGTTCGATGTTTTAATTTGTTGGAAGCTGCCCAGAGTAGCTGGGGGAAATCCAGTCATATGGGTGGCATATAAATAATAATTTATTATTACTATTATTAAGTGGGTCTTCTAAGTAATCCAACACTTCATTCCTAGTCCAACCATGGGGCCACACTGGCTTTTGACAAATGAGGCCTCAGTGGCCACAGATTTCCTTTTAAAAAAGTTGGGAAATACTCATGTCTGAAAAGAGCCATGCAGTGTGGATATTTCTGAGATGTATGGGCCAATGCTCTGATTTGGTATAAGGGAGCTTCCTACATTTCATGAAGGTCAGTACAGTAGTTGACTTGGACCGCTATGTCACAACCTAACCTACCTCACAGGGCAACAGTGAGGGTAAAAAATGGAGGTGAGGAGAGAACAGTGTAGATCCGTCAATGTAGACAATATTGAACTAATTGGACTACTGGAGGAAAGGCAGGATACAAACATCATGAACCATAGGTAAGCAATGGGGTGTCCTCCAGATATTTTGGACTACAACACCTCTCATCACTGGCCATTGACTATGCTGGCTACAGCTGTATTCCACAAACATCTGGCAAGCACTACGTTGGCTACAAATGCAATAAACCAATAAACAGTAACAACTGCGAAACGTGCTTCATTTTACAACTGGAACGCAGATCGGTCAATTTACATTTCATGGTGATAGATTCAATAAATGGTACAAACTGGAGTACTTTCCCCCCAAAGCACATCAAGCCACCACAGTTGCAAATATTTACAATTTACAGGTGTGCACCAGGGAGACCTTTTATCCATCGCTGGTATAGCTGCCTGCGCAGAAAAAAATAACAACGGACAGCAACCCACCCATACAGTGACGACACACCCAGCAGTGCAGAACCAAAATATATGCTTATTCCGAAGGAAATATACTGCAGAGAAACTAAAACAGCTGACAAATCAGCTGCAACAATGAGGATAGCCGCTAGGTGAAATCTTAAGGGAATGTCTTTACTACTGCTGAGTGATTTAAGCCTTTTAAAAAAAGAAATCTTGTGATAAAGGAGCTACCCTGGTGCTGTCATATGGGTCGTTAACCTTGTAGCTTGAGATTTATTATAAATGACACATGCTCCAGTGGTCGTGCATCAAGGTCACATGGCCCAAACTGATGGCACCCTGACAGACCTTTCTCCCTGATCACACCAAAGCCATGCAGGGAAGGACCACAAAGAAATAAGAGAGAGCGTGTGGTTTTTTTTAATGCAGAAGGCTTTACCACTGGCACCCCCAATTGAAATGGCTTCTCTGGTATAGAAGGACTGGAAAGACGTCTCTGCTGAAAACAATGGAGAGCCACTGCCGGTCAGAACAGACGGCACTGAGCAAAATAGACTCAATTTGCTTAATGTAATGGGATAAAATGAGTTACAGTAACTTGGATATTCTACTAGCTCTTTCTGAAGTCTTCATGGTAACCATTGTGGGGCCTAAATGCTCAGTGAAAGCTGCTGCTGCAGGTAACAACCAAGCGTAACACAACTGCAAGTATTAGCTTTATTTTGGCATTCGCTCCCATGTGATTACACTCGTGTGAAGGGGAGAGTGGGGCCATATATGTTGGCCACGTTCTCTCAATCACATCCCTATTGGCCTGGCCCTTCCCTGCAAGGGGAGGTTGGAAGAGGAGGACCTGCTTCCCCCTTCAGACCATTCCCTCCAACGTGTGGACAGCAGTGGGGCCAGGCCGACAGGGAGGGTTGGGGTACGCGAACACTGCCCTCAGTCTCCCCTGACACAATTGTAATTGCACGTTGGGCGCAATTAGGAGACACATACGTCACAGGAAATTCCATCACACCACAACAATCTTTACGGAACGCCTAATGATCCAAAATGCTGACCAAGGTTGACCCGAAGTTAACATTAAAGCACAAAACAAACTGGTTGGCCTTGTATAAATATTACGTACAAATGGCAAGAGGGAAGCATCAGGCCTGTGGCATGCTGTTCACACATTCTTGGAACTACTTGAGTAGGTGGCTGCCATTACCAAAGCTGGTATTGTGTGATGCGTTTATTTGGAAGGTTTACTCCTCCTTGCTGATGATGGGTAGCCATTGAGATCTTCTTGTTCTGTGATGTTGTGCTCAGAACTGTCATGGGAATAGTCTTTCATGGTGCTGTAGAAGACAGGAGCGTTGTACTGAGTGGCAATCTCTGTCCTCTTCCCCCCACATTTGCATAGCTTTTTGAAGGCAGCTCTAAACTTCTGAGACATCACATTGTAAATGATGGGGTTGATGGCGCTGTTCAGGTAGATGCAGAGCCTACAGAAGAGGACGAACCAGATGTTCAGGTAAGGAGGGTCCATGAAGGAGTTGACCACCACCAAGGTGCGGTACGGCATCCACAGGAGGGCAAAGAGGATCACCACCACCGCTAGCATCTTCGTCACCTTGGAAGTTGCAAGCAGAAAAACAAAGTGAGTGAGTTTACATCTTTGTCAATAAGATTTGCTTAATAATCTGTGGTGGAAGGAAAAGAAGAGAATTCACTGCCAAGTTCAGAATATGGCACAGATTACAACATTTTAGTTTAGGATGCCTAAACTAACCCTGAACACTCTTAAATGGATGGAAAGTTCTAGACTTCTCCAGCCAGTCCCCCTAACTGGCGTATTTTCCAAGTGGTGCTAGTTTTTAATGAAATCTTACCAGCTCTGTCTTTTTAGATAGTCCTATAATGAGTCCCAGTTAATTTTGAGTATTGCCTTCTACCTTGTCATTTGCTGTCACTCTGTTCATTTTCTACTAGTGTTACAAAGTTTATTTCTTTTCTGAGATTTCTTCTTTGACAATTGGAATAAGCAACACATAATCTTTCGTCAGTCACTACAATGGAGGTTCCCAGAGCACTGAGCATTCACCCTGATTTGTCTACGGGGAGATTAGGCAACGATGGCTCTTAAAACCAAACTTCATCCTGATTTGTTTGCTGGGAGGCTGGATGCTGCTGCATCAAGCAACTGTCACCCCACCCTTTCCACTGCACTTCCCTTATCACAAAAAGTTCAATTTGGAGGGAAGTGGGCTTGCTATGCAACAGCTCTAAATCAAATTTATTTGTGCACCCTGAATTTGCTAGTATGTGATTTGATCCTACCTGAAAATAGCAACAATCTGCAAGCGGCCCATAAGATAACTTACCATCAACTGATCAAAGACAGGTAAAGTCCATCAGCCCAAACCTATGTAGAGTTAGGGGCATTTAAGCCCACTCATTTTAATGGGCTCAGGTGTGGTTGACTATGTAGCATTAAGCTACATATGCTCAATGCCAAGCACTTACCTTGAGACAAGAATCATTAGCATTCAGCACTGGTAAATAGTAAATCAGGATTAAATGAGAATATAACATGGGGTGGCATTTTGCCCAGGATGATGTTGTGTGAACACTGCTCAAAATCTGCATGCAGGAACAGCACTAAGGCAATGATGAACTGCCATATGGAAGTGTCCACTGTTTCCACAGATGATGGAAGGGAATTTGAGCCCGTCTTGTAAAACACAAGCAGAGCATTTTCCTGAGCACATTTTTCCCTTTAGAGAAGGTTGGGAACTGGGGATGAAGGCCAGCAGAAGTCAACATTCATTTTGGGCAAATGCAATTTTGAAAACTCTTATCTCCCTCCTCTCTGCCCAATAGAAATAGAAAGGGCTCTGGTGGTAGCACTGTAAACAAGGATGCTTGTTTTGCCTTAACTTTGAAGGTGCCATAATTTCTCTCCTCCAATTTTTCTCTATAGTTTTTGAGCGTTTTTCCATTCTGTGGAAGCCTTGTAGAATCAAATACATCTACCGGTGGTTAGTATTAAGCATTCCCAGACACAAGCATGAATTCCAGATCTGGCCTGACAAAAGAACCTCTCCACTCTTCTTCTTTCTTTAATATACAGCGCGGCTAATGAATACACATATCAAGACTGTAACAGTACCCTGAGAACAATGAAGTGCTGTGAGTTAAGATGTACACTACTGTTCATCTCACTTGTGCATTCGACTCCCCCTTTCTTCTTAATGCATTCCCCTAGTATTGAAACTTGATAATCATTGTAATCTTTACAAAGAGCTGTTCAGGGGATGGTTGATTATCCTCCCCCTCAGCATGTAATTCATTGAATTCAAAGGGGTGCACTCCCCCTTTTAGGAAGAAAAAAATGCTATATGCGTGCTGAAAGGACATACACTCTTAAACATAAAAGGGGAGTTAATACATTTGCCAGAAAACCGACTTTTGTGCTGTAAATTGAAACACAATTACTAGGGATTAAGCTCCATTGAACTCAGTGAGATTCACTTCCATGAAAACATGAAAAAGACGACGAGGCTGCTTGTCTTATTTCAAGCTCATATTCCCTTTCTGTCATGCTTGCTCTGCGGTTTAAGGCTGGAGGCAAGGAGCTGTTTACTGCCCTTCAGGAGACATATGGTAGCTCAAAGATGGTAAGCTTAATAAAGATGTCGCACTTGAGAGCCTGGAGCAAGAAAATGACTTTCTAACAGACCTCTATGGCCAGCTATTATGTAGGCAAGAGAATGAAGGGACAAGGACACTTTCTTCACACCATGAAGGACTGCACTGTGAGTCGTAGTTACAGCTAAGAACAAAGCAGACCTGCCATTTGGGAACTGCATGTCAAAACTTCAGTGATGGAGAATTAAGCATGAAAGGATAGAATATAATAGTAGATAAAGAACATCATTCAGATCCTAGCTCAGTCACAGATCCAACCTGTGGCTGGGTACCATGTCTTAGCTGTGGTGATGTGGCAGCCTCAGATAAGGGGCAGAAAGGCCTCAGGTTTGAATCAATGATTCCTCTGAAAACAAAAACGAGAGGTGTGAGGGAGGCTGCTCTTGCCTCACCTGTCAGAAAACAGGGGACAGAAGATTCCTCTCAAGGCATTAGATCCCAACTGACCTAAAATATAACACTTTCTAAGAACAACAACAAATCATGTGCAATATATACAGCCCTTGTTTGCATGTCGCAGTAAGACATAAACGGCTTTTTGTAAATGAGCAGATAGCCTCTGCTTTGCTCTTCCCCTAGCATGGTTGGAAGCAACAAGCCATGTTTGGCTTGTTGTGATGTGCAAACATTGGATCATGGTTTGTTTCCCTCACATATGCCATGATCGATAAACCAACAAATGGCTTCATGTTGTTCCAGGGGAGAAACAAACCATGATCTTGCATTCACATGTGACAACAAGCTGGTCGTTCCCACTTAAGCTAGGAGATGAGCAAAGAGGGATGTGGGAACACAGGAGATGCCAGGAGTTGAACTTCAGCGTACAACCCATGTGCTTTGCCACTGAGCCACAGTCCTTCTCCTGATTGTGAATAAGCAGAGTGACATGCTAATGTCCACATGCAAATGTGGCTGTAATGCAATTCACCCAAATCCACAGCATTATGTGATTGCATAACATTCAACGAATGCATTTTAAGTTAATGTAGCATGAGCTTATGGGCTAAGATATTGAATGCATGAAATGTCATCTCAGATGTTAGTGATTACCACTGTTGGAGGCTGGGAGACGTAAGATGACTTGCTGGTGAAGATGGTTTCTCAGTTACCAGAAAAGATGCAGGTGACAGTCTGGCTATTGCAACTAACAATGGCAATGATGGTGAAACTTGGATGCCAAGGATGTTTTGATGGTGAAAGAGAGAAAAAAAGAGAAATAATGAGTGCACACAGACATAATAGAAACAATTAATTGGAGTAAAAAACTGATCACAATGGAGATGAAACATCATTATAGAACATTAGCAGTCAGCATTTTGAAAAGAGCACAATGCTGTTGTGAACATGTAGTCGGGATGAAATCAGGCGAGATAGCATGTGCCATGAGCCAAGAAATTCTTGGTTCAACTCTGATCTTTGCCAAGAACTCATTCACTGGAAGATGGAAAGCTACCTTGTACCAAATAAGATCTAGCTCAGTATACCCTACACAGATGAGCTGTGGCTCTCCAGGAAGATTCAGGCAAGTCTTTCGCAGAGATGCTGGAGAGGCTGAAAACTGAACTTGGGGCTCCCTGAGTGCAAGGCAGATGCTCTGCTGCTCAGTCTTTGTTGCTGTTAAAACTTGACCCAGCACGCCAGCCGTATATGGTAGCCCACCAGGGCCCCATTGTGTTGCACAAATGTAAATTCTTGCACTGATAGGGCACTTTAGTTGGGAACTGCCCTGGATGCTGTATGAGGCTGGTCATTGGTCGGATCCAGAAGGGCTCTTTTTATGTTCTTAATCCAAATTGAACTCTGATTTTATCATGTGTGTGCTGAGCAGATTTTGTGCTATTTTGAAGTAGGGCTAAATCACAAAATTATGTGCCACCTTCAAATATCTAAAGGGCTGCCACATGGAAGATGGAGCAAGCTTGTTTTCTCCTTCTCTGGAGGGTAGGACATGAACCAATGGCTTCATGTTACAAGAAAGGAGATTCCGACTGAACATCAGAAAAAAATTTCTGACAGTACAGTAAGGCCTATCAGTAAGACAGTGGAACAGTCTCCCTCAGGAGGTTGTGGACTTCCTTGGAGGTTTTTAAACAGAGATTGGATGGCCACCTGTCATGTATGATTTTTAAAACACCTCTCTCTCTCTCTCTCTTATCCTGGCCACTTCCATGTTGAAATAAAACTAACCCCACAGGCCCCTGGCCTAGAATATGCTTCTGTTCTAGTCTGAGGCCCTTCACACATTTCCTGCTAAAAACCACCCCCCACCCCTGGCAATTTTGACAGAAAACTAGTTCAGGGTCTACAAGTAGCCTTTAGTTTGGCTCTTCAAAAACACAGGAAGACAGAATGAATCAAAAGTGCTACTGCATGTGATAATTTGGGGATTCTGTTTCTCAAGCTGCATTCATCAGTGAGAAAGATTGTTTGTGGCCTTTTTATCTTTTGAAGAAAGTAGGCACACACCCGTCAGCCCTCCTTTGAAATAGCTTCGTGGAAAAATAAACACCACACCTCTGAACATCGAGCAAACTTCCTTGTAAATATCTGCAAAGTCTACAACAGTTTCCTCACTGAGCCGGAAACTATTTGCCATTTTGTCATATTGGCAAAACAGAGTTTCATTGGGTTGCTTTCTGCTGACTCGAGAGGTTTTCATTTCTATGTAAATGCCAAGAGGTTGAATTTTGAGCAAAACGACATAGCGATACTGAATGAAATTTGCTGAAAGAGGCAGCAATCATATTGTGCCTTTAGGGTGGACCTTAAAGGCTGTTTGAATAGATTCCTCAACTTTCAATATCCTCATGGAATTCAAAATAGAACGAAATCAGCTCAACCAGCTCGAGTCAGGTAACAGCTTTTAAGAGAGCTGAAAGCAACAAATAATTGTTTTTGCCCCATTACCATCTCTAGTCAAAC